AAAAAAAAAGAAACAAAAATAAAAGCTTTAATTTACAAGAGATATTATTAATAAAAATCTCTAGAAATCTGATTATTATCCATGTTCCCTCTTTCTGATACATATAAATAGTTGAAGGCAAACCTAACTATCTAGGAACATTATTTAAGTAAGATTCTTCTCTTGTTAGAACTGTATTAACTGTTCAGGGAACTATACATTTCTGTTGCAATACTGTATACAGTAGCTGTTGACTTGAAGATAGAACAATCCTACTAAGCCATCATTCTTTCTGTTTCTGACTGGACATCAACAACTTTTATACAAAAACAACCCATATATTTATCCTGCATCATTCTTATTCCTAGGATTTCATTGCATAAGTTACATAAGCCCAAGGATCTAGTACTAAGGACAGGCCAGAAGAAAGAAACAGGGCATGTATTGGTCTTGATTAAATAACATTATGCACACAAAATGTCAAGAACAGGCTGATCTTTTTGAGTTTATCATGTTTCACCCTAAGGAAGTTTGATGCACTTAAAATGTTTTTCTTAGTTCCTTGGAGGAAAGGCAGGATATAAAAAATGAAAAATAAATATCAGACAAGGAGTGTTAAATATGCTAAGTTCAAGTCATCCTATTGGTTTTCCCCAGCCCTGCCTGTCTCTAAGGTTGCAGCAACACAGACGTATTCCAGCAGTGATGAAAATCAGCCTACATCAGTATGCATAACTTTTTATTGCAATGCTAGCTGTAGCTCCAGGCACAACTACAAGGCAGCTTCATTAAATCACTGTGCAGTTAGTCTCCATCCACAAGGCAAAAGGGGAAAGAATGGCTGGCAATTTGTCATCCAAGACATCTCTGTAGAGTCAGCTAGAAGATATAGTCCTAAAGAGGGATGTGAAAATATATAAACTTGTTTGCTGTGACTGCGCACATAATTGTTCCACTATAAGTCCTCAGGAATTTGCTAAATCATCACTCTAATTGATAATTATGTAAACAACAGCTTCTGCAGACTGCATTACAGATCTGCTATAAAAGCTGCAGGATTCTAATATATATGAAACCTTTACTACTACATTCAGTGCTGATAATGCATTTTCCAACCTGTTTTCTAACTATGAAAAGTCGTTACTGGCACAGATTTAACAGTAGTCCAAAAACTAAAAAAAAAAAAAAATCCTTCCTATGTCAGCCTTGCTCTTTTTAAAATGCAAGAATGTTTCAGTGGGCACACAAGATGGCATATTCCTAGATGTTTGTTTAGTCTATAAAGGCTAGGTATAAGGCTGAATAGATAATACTGTTTAGGCATGTTTTAATGGTCTTCTAAGAGCAACTCTTGCTAAACAGACTTCACTGCATAATCTATTTTTGGCTCTTGGATATGTTCTTTTGAATACCAAGTATAAAAAGTTAAATTCTCCCCAAATAGATGAATGAAAGAAATACTATCATAGGGCTAAAATCAATTATTTTATTAATTCAAAGCCAAAGTATTCTTGATGCTGTTTGGGGATAAATCTGTGTCTGTGTACAAATATGTGTACTGCAGTAAAAAATAGTTAATATGAGGGGTTCTATTATTTTGACCTCACCATTGTCCCAGTCTCAATAAGAACAACCCCACCACTGCTCTTCACAATGAAAAAAAAAAAAGCTGGCATGGGTGCTAAATGTTCTTAATCCGTTAACAAGTCTAGTTTTGTTTAAAGACCGTTCATTCACAAAACACAGTTCTGTCAACTTTGTCTGGAAAATCTTCACCAACACTTTTATCTGAAATGCTGTTTGGATCTCCTACTTGCATTCTTTTTGGTTAGAATTTACGCACTCAGGTCTTTCCACAGACCAAAGGGAAAGGCAAAGAATGGCGAAAAGCAGTCTGATAAATCTGTAAAGCTGAAAGTCCCATCTTCCTAATTTCCAATCATTTATCAGAAGCTATTATTAATGGCCACCATTCAGAAATATTTTCTTTCTAGAGTATATACCAGTTTCTGCCATTGCACAGATAGATTTTGAACACAGATGGAATGAATATGTGAAATCTGGGGCATGGCAGGGACATTTCCAAAGTGAAAGTGCTTTTGTGTTGTTCTTAGTAAAATATAAATTTTACTTAACAACGGAAGTGCTTGACTTTCAATTAAGATGAAGTGCGGATCCATACCCTCTGTATTCTCCATAATGAGAATTCTGTTTAATTTGCAGATGTCAAGCCATTAGTGAAACTTCATCAGAAGAAATGGAGTCCACCTAAAAAAAAAAAAAAAAGAGTATGATTTTTTTAAAAATGTAGTCATGTCTGTTTCAAGAACTGAGTGTAACAATTATTTACATTTTGTCTTTATATATAAGATACACATTTCACCAATGTATTTTTAAACACATGTACTCATTCTGTTCTTCATGGGATGAAATTATCATTCTGCTAGCCCTTACCTAATAAACATTTCAAGACAATTTTAATTCAGTGTTCCTCTCCCAACAGTGTCGGTTTCTGCTTTGAGAATACATAACTCTGCAAGATTATTTCTTACTGCTGAGGAACAATTCACAGTACTTCCAGAAATTCAGCATTAGGTAGAGAGAAATGCCCAGGGGATGCATACTGAGCAGAGGCTAACATGATAAAGTGGCTATGCAAAAGCTACAGATGATTTGAAAACAAAAAAGAGCATATAGCAGAGTTGGAAAGAGGAAAAGTGCAAATTGGAAGCTTAAACTGTAAAAATGGTGTCAAGAAAGCTGAAGCGGAAAATGAATTGAAATTGGCAAAGGATGCTGAGAATAACAAAAAGGGCTTCTCTACACCATATACATTCCAGTAAAAGAATCAGTCAACTGATCAACAAATACCACAAAATGTTAAGAGTTAACGAAGAAAACCAGCTTGAATTCTTATTTTTGTTCAACAACAGTTTTATCAAGAAATTGTGAAGGGCAGGAGAATTTATTTGTTTGAAGTGGCATACAAGTTGACCAAATAAACAATTACAGAAGTATCTCTAGGTGACTTACACATTAGGATTAAAAAACAGTAACCATAAGAATAGACAAACAAAATCAAAAGACTGACATTTAACATTGACAGAAACATGGTCAGGGAGTGGCTCTTTAAATTCTTCAATGAGTGTAAATTTCCAGGGCCAAACAAATGACCTCCTAGCATATTGAAGCTAATAGTTAGTAGCCTGGATGAAATGTTATGTATTAACTTTGAGAAAGACTAAAGAACTGGTGAAGAATTAAGTGCCAGATCACTTGAAGATAGCAAATGTGGTTCCTATCTTCAGTGATATCTGTAGAGTAGGAGTCAAACAGGCTAGTCTGATGAAAGCAGCATTGTGACATCATGATGCAAGACCCACCCTTTTGTTCATGCTGTTGTATGCACACCTCAAAGCGATAGAGCTTGTGGTGGGACAACATAATGCTATTTTTGTCATTTTGACGAAAGCAGCAGGAGCCTGAGAACACCCATGCCTATCTTCCAAAAGGCAGAAAAGGAAGATCCAGGAAGCCATGAACCAATCAGTCTGACATTAATATCTGACAAGATTCTAAAGCTTATAAATAGAGATTTATCTATAAGCACCTTGAAAACATCTGCAATAATCACCAGAAATCAGCATGGGCTTGGTGGGAGCAAGTCTTGCCAGTCTCATTTTTAGAATATGGGAATGTTGTTAGCTTATTTGAAAAAGTATATAATGATGTGCTAATTAAGAAGCTACTTAAGTACTGTATGTATTGGATGGCCTAACAATTATTGTCTCAAAAATTGTACTCAGAGAGTGCTTCGCAATCAAACTGGGGAGATATACAGTATTTAATGGGGTGCTACAAGGTTTATATCTGGACCCTCTACTCTTCAATAGTTTTACTATGGCTTGAATGACGCAGTAAGTAGAATGCCATCAAATTTGCAGACAACCTAGGATTGGGTGGAATAACTAATACCCTAAATGACAAAAATAAAATTTAGAATGTTCTTAATGCAAATACACTAGGAGTAACAAAACAAAATTTAATATAAATAAAGGCAAAGTCATTCACTTAGGAAAGAAAAATCATGTGCACAGGTAAAGTATAGGGTTTATCTGGCTCTGTGATAATAAACATTTTGAAATAGTTGACTGCAGGCTAAATATGACTCAGCAGTTTGATGCTATTGCAGAAAAGGATAATGTTATTGTAAACTGCATCAACAGAAATATTGCACCCAATTCATAGAATCATAGTTGAAAGGGACCTTGGAAGAATCGTGGGAAGTAACAGCTCCATTTTATTCTGCTTTGGTTGGATCATACCTCAAGTACCATGTCCAATTCTGGCCACCACAGTTCAGGAAGGATTCACAGAAACTAGAACAAGTTTGGGAAATGGCAAGAAGGAAGTTCAAGGGTTTATTAGTTAAGCCCCATGAGTAGAGGGTGAAGCAGACGGACTTGCATAAGCTTGAAAAGAAAACACTTAGAGGGATAGGAAAGCATTCTTCAATACCTGAAAGGAGATCATGCAGAAGAAGGTCAAAATCTGTTTTCTATCATTCCACACTGCAGGATGTGGAATTATGGAATCACATTCTAGGAAATCAGATTCAACTTCTATGTTACAAAAAAAAAAAACCCAACAGTAAGAGCGGTGGAACGGATTATCAAGAAAGGTGGTAGATTCCCCTTCAGTGGGTGTGTTGAAGAAGAGACCAGACAGTCCCCTGTTGGGGGTGCTTGAATTTGGATTCCTGCACTGAGCAGAGGGTTGGAGTCAATGGCTTAAATGGCCCTTCTAATTCTACTTCTCATTGCATTATATGAGACATGCTGATTATGCTAAGATGGTTTGCAATTTATATATTGTGTTCCTCATTTAAAAGGTGTTAAATATATATATGTAAATTCACCTTCGATTCAGCTTTGAATCCTGGGGATTTCATGGATGCAGTTTTCCTGGCAACAGTTTAGAAGTTGTTTGCCTTTGTCACCTTGTGGAATGTTTCGTTGACTTCACTATCTAAGTTACATTTGCCTAGCCTGCCATTCCTATACGATTGGGTGTGTGTGGGTGTGCGTGGGTGTATGCAGCAGATACAAAAATTTCAGTTAGAGATAGATCTATTTATGCTTGTCAAGCTCAAAGTCTTAATGTTGAAAAGTATACAGTAGAAATAAATAGGTGGAATGCCCACCTTCCTTTTAATGTTATAAGAACCCAATTCCTAATGGCTGCACATCCTTAAAATGTCAGGGATGTAATATCTAATGTGCATATTTATGCATGCAGAGAACAATTCTGTTGTCAGCCCAGATCATACACTACCTGCTTTGGGGATATAGGTCATTCTCCTGAACAACCTTGATCAGTGCTTGAATTGTTGAATATACCAAGAACACAATAAAAAAGGAATCTAGACTTTACATGAATTTTTTTCTCTACTGATGCTTCTAAAAAGGTTAAAATTAGTACCAATGTTAAAGGTAATCAGAGACTACTGTTCAGTATAATAGTACACACAAATATCTTGAAGGAATTCCCTTCATTGTCATGGGAATCTCTTACCAATGACATAGCAAAAAATGCGTGGGATTTTTTGGTGGGCAGGTTCTCCATGGATACATGGCTGAATTCAGGACATCAAAGACATGATGACCATCCATTTGACTGGGACAAGTTGTAAGATCATTGTTTTCTGAAGATGTATGTATATGTCTGATCCATGAATCAACATGGATGTTGATTCATGGATCAGAACCAACATAGTGAGCTCAGGTCTGAATCAAATTTCAAGATCCTATGACCCCATCTTAAGCTACAGGAAGTGATTAAAAAAAGAAATCCATACATCTGACCACATGCAAAATGAATGTTGCTTACCATTGATCAATCAACAGCAGTACTTGAAGATTTGTAAAAGGTAAGTTTCTGAATAGTAAATTAAATATCCCCAATTAATTTTAAATGTTTAGTCAGTAAATCAGGCAAAATCCAATTTGAATTCTCAATATGATTGGGAAAACTGATAATTCAATTTGGACATATGAATCATACCGATTTGATTCAGGCTTCCAGTTAAAGGAAAAAAGTGTTCTTGCGCATGTGTAGAAGTCATCTGAACTGAATTTGAGACATCTGATTTGATTCATAGACTTGGTTTATTCATCTTTCAATCACCAAAGTGAATATTCACAAACTAACCTCTATACCAAATTGCCTGAATATGAGCAACTTCCTATCCTAATGGATGAATCTATATGAATGGGAAAATAATTACAAAAAATGAACACATACACAGAAAATAAAGTAATACACATGCACAAATGATATTATTAAATGTGAAAAATTCAACCCAGTTTTTGTGTTAATCTTCTAGCTTTTATATTTGTAAAGATGATACAACAACTTTTAAAACTCTAATCTTTGTAGAAAAAGCTTCTTACACTGTGGAATCCATACAAATGTAAGGGCATGCCCTTTACTGATTCCACAGTGTAAGAAACATGAATCTCACCATACACTACTGTCATAAGGATCATCCAAACCATTTTAAAACCATGTTAAATTATAGCAACATCCTGTCAATATCTATTCATATAATATTTAAAGGATCTTACTCTCAAATTTGTGTGCCCAAGTATATCTAGAACCATGTGATTTCCAGATGTGTTGAACATAAGTCCCATTTTCCCCAGCCCAATGCTAACTGAAAGAACAGTTCAGCCATGTAACCAGTTATCTAGGTTGATGGGGATACCTTACTGGATAGCATCAAGCAGAGACTCCTTCCACACCTATTGTTCTAAATCAGAATAACCAGACATAACATTAAGGTTTAAGTTCAGTTATGTTCACTTCAGTGACTAACACTACAATCCCATTTTACTTGACAGTAACCCCAACAGTCATTGGAGAAGACACTGATATTTGGAAAAACTGAAGGCAATCCAGAAAGAGGCTGACAGAAGGCAAGGGGCTAGATACCATCACTGAAGACTCAAGCTTAAGCTTACAAGAACTCAAATAAACAATACTGAGAGACAATCGGGGCAAAATAATATCCACTGTCACGAAGACTCAGAAGCGACTGAGCAATGAATTCAATGGAACTTATACTTTCTGAATACAAGAACTACAAGAATTAGTACTCAAGAAATGCACCTAGAATAAGCAATGCTTATTCTAGTCCCCATGGGGAAAAAGTTCTGGCCTGACCAGAAGCAGATCATGATAAATTCTTTCCAATGGGATGAAAAACAAATGCAATCTCATTAGAGCTACTGCAACTGCCTTCTGATTCAGCCTAACATTTTCAGCTGCATTACAACCATTCAACTGATCATTTAATGACTGAAATTAAAGCCAGCAATTAAGACAAGTTACCTTCACAGCCTCTTAGCTGCCAAATTCAAAGGAAGAAAAGAAAACAGGGCAAGCCTTTCTTTCTAGGAGGCTCTCAGAACTGGTATACTGGAAAATCATGTCTTTTACCAGGTACTATGAAGTGGCTCAGCTGACTAATGACCTTGCTTGAAAAGTAAATACAACTTGTAGTGAGATAACACGGAGGGATGCAAGAATAATTCATGTTCAGAAATGTGAAAAGCAACATTGCTAAGGATCCTTGCTGAGAAAATAGAGAGCGAGACCTCCCATAGTCACTGTATATGTTAATTAAATCATCAGTAGAAAGCAATATTTAAGCTTCAGAAACCTCAAAAAAGAAATATCTAAATCAAATATAAATTTACATTCCTTACTCAAAAAATGGTTAAAAAAAAAAAACCTTAACCATGTATCAGGGGTCACATGAGGGGCCACACACATTAAAATACTGAGGGAGAGAACAAAACATGGCCAGGCTGCTTCTTAAAAGAGCTATTCTGCCTTACCTAATAAACTTCCCTACACAGAAACAGGTTTATTTTGTGAATTACTGCTCTAATTCTAAACACATTCCTGGTTCCTAAATCAGATTTTTCCAATACGTTTTATATTCTAATATAAGCATTTCAGGGAGTGTAGCCAGACTAAACATTCTGAACTGTGTGCATTTTCTGTTAAAACCTCAAACGTACCTAGTTTTATTTTTAATAATCTAGAATTATTTATACAGTAAATGAAACAATAATTATACATTAAGTTATATAACAATTATTCATTGTTGTTAGATTTATAGTCTGCCTTTCCTTCTGACACAATGTTTGAAAATATAAAAAGCAACACTTGCTAAGCCCTCATTTCATT